GAGGAAGGCATGAAGCTACAGAAGGGGTAGGAGAGAGGAAATAGTTATTTATGGCTATGGTTTTCATGTGCAGTCATAGAGTCTCCCGCACCATACCATTGTTTTTTGCTCTCCTCCTAATCTCTCCAACAGATTTAATACACTCAACTCACCAGAATTCCAGCATTTTCAATCATATCCCTTCACTGGGGATATGAGTGAGCAAGAAATTTAATTTTATGTATTAGCTTAAAAGACACCCTCTCTCAGAGTTAATAAGGTTATTTTTCATTCCAACAAATGACTTAGTAAACAAGATGATGGCATCAGTCACAGAAAGACAGTTTGGAAATGGTTGCAGTTAAAGGTTTGTTATTGAATGTGGATTTAATTATATTTTAGTTCATTCTCAGAGACAACTGAATTTTAGCATTTCACTAAAGATATTCCCAAAAAAGTGTGTTCATATAATACAAAATAAATCAGAGAGTAATATAACTGGAAAATTATCCTTTGTATAGCTAAAAGGATAACTAAAAAGGTAACTCAGATCAAACGAGTTCACTTTATTCGATGCTTTGCTGGAATTTCACACAGGCCCTAAGTCACCTAACATATGTGTCCTAGTTTTCCTCATCAATAACATGGCAACTCTACAAGTAAATGCTCAATACATTTTAAATGTCTTTATTATTGATTTTAATCTCACAGGATTGTTATAAATATTCAATAAAATAATAGTTTTAAAGGTCTTACAATAATACTCAGCATATAGTAAGTATTCAATAAATTTTAGTTGCTGATACCGTTATCCTTAAATCTAACTGAGAAGACAGACTTTGGTATAATCCCATGATTATACCCACAGAATCCTGAGAGAACCTGGTAGTCACTTCCCCCAAAGCCATGCCAAAGCATCAGTAACTACAGCATTTACCCTACTTAACTCTTTCCAGGGGATTTTTGCTTCTTTCTTATGTGTCATATAGCATTGTCCACTGATGATAATGCTACCTATGATTCTGAGTTTCCATAATAAGAGATATTGCTTTGCCTGGAGAGTGCATATCTTTATTTGGAGACAGGTTGGTCTAAAATTAGTCAAAAAAAGAAAGTATCTTAGTGTGACATTAAACAGACACTCAAGAAACACTCCAGCTGGGGAGACTATTTGTGGCTCACCTGGAGCTGGTTACCACACTCTTCTTCAATATTTAGGAAGACTAAGTCAGACACTAATTCAGCTGTATGCTCTCCTGTGATGATATAATAGACTAGGAGATAGGCTGTAGGAACCATGTGCTGAATCATGGAAAGGTTTAAAAGTTGGTAAGATGAACCTGGGAGTTTCTTTCCTGTGCCAAAGTGTACAATCTTGCCCTTAGATGAAATCTAAAAATACATAGCAATAAATATGCATCAGAGTGGGCTTAATGCTAGGCTAGTAATTAGACAGGTGATAAAGAGAATTAATGCCAATCAAGCATCTACTATGTATTAGGCACGTATATATAAATATATTAAATCCTCACACTTGCATGTTGTGCTTTAATCAATCTCATTTAGTAGTTATAGAAACTGAAGCTCATAGATATAGACATCTTGTTAGCTTAAAAGGTGCCTTTCTCAGAATCGATAAGGTTATTGCTTATTCCAACAAATGGCTTAGTAAACAAGATGATGTTATCAGTCACTGAAAGGAAAATAGTTTGGAACTGTTTACATTCAAAGGTTTGTTTCTGAACTTAGATTTATCTGGGAAGTGAACCCTGATCTTGCTGACTCAAGCCCATGCCTTTGTCAATATAGCATGCTGCTATCCTTGCTAGTTTGCATTTTAAACAGCAATGAACAGTGCCTGGAATAACTACATGCATTCTTGAGCACAAGACTTAAATTCTTCCTTTTGTAAATAAGGTATGTTCTTAAGGGAAAGTTGGCAAGGCCTAGAGATTCAATGTATGGTAATGCTCTGACTGGCTGTGAAACATTGCTGAGGAGACTGACTACTCTGGGGACTGCATGAAGGCTCTGATCAAACCCTTGACATCATACTATGGAGGAAATATCAGTCTAGGAGTAAGAAGAACTTAAACAAAATCCTAAACCCAGCACTTGTGAACATGGCAGTCACTTGACCTCTCCAATCTGCTCCACTGTCTGTCAAGCTCAAAGAGGTTTTGTGAAGCTCTGTTATGAGCATGTTGTGAATGTATTTTATAGACTATAAAGTGCTATATAAGTTCATCCATTCATTCACTAAATGTCACCTGGGCACTGCTTTGTGTAAGGTAAGGAATCATTATTTGCATAAGGAAAATGTTACAAGTAGGGGACCAGATGCAAGCGAGATATTATTGAACTTAGCAAGTAATTGTAGTGTGTAATCTTGTCAACATTTGGGTTTTAGGGGTAACAGTTATGATCAGATATTATTCCACAAGCAAACTCTTGTAACTGTGCGGCTAAGGGAAAGAAAACTTTGGCTGTGTGATGAGTAAGCCATTGCTTGATAGTTATTGCTGGCTTGATATTCTTCAGGAAAGTCTGGGTCATCAGTTCTGACCTAAAGAAGACAGTGTCAAAAAATGTAAAATATCAATGCTTATCTTGACGACAATGATGGTGGTAGTGCTGGTAACTGCTAACACTTTGCTAGCATTCATTTAGTGCCAGTCTGACCCTAAGTGCATGACATATATGAATGTATGCATATAACTTATACATTTTCAGGCTTCACAACATCTTATGAAAAAGGAAATTAGCATTTCCCTACCTTAACATCATGGTAAGTTATGTTATCAAGTGACTACAGAAAGGCTACTGATTTAAAAAATAATAAAATTAACTATGAAAATCTAGGCTAGTGTATAAGAGTCTAGTGAAGTCAAAGAAGAGAAAAGATCCTAGATTTAGGGTTGGACTTCTTTCTTAAATGACATGTCAACTTATTGACTCATTTCCTTCTGCCATAGGCTGGCAGGAACTAAGAATTTAGGGAGAGAAAAAACGTAGGGAGAGATGTGGCAATAATTCTTAAAATCTAATAGAGATGTTGGTTGTGAATGGAAATGGTGGTGAATAATTTCTTACTCTCTCTTTCAGGAGAGAGACCGAGAAGATTCAGGAAAGTAAACAAGATCTGTTCTTGAAGATAAACTGCAGGGTCCTAGGGAACTCATAAATATATGTGTCATGCTGTGCCAGTTCTTAAACAAGAAGCTGGAACCATTTATGCTTTCCTTGGAGCTGAAGAATTAGATATTTTCTGGCAAATGTAACTTGATAAAATAAGAACAAAGGAAAAATGATTCATGCTATTAGAGAAAAGGGAGACTATGACATCTGGCCCTGGTTTAGGTCTAGAAACAGATATGCGTATTCAGCTCATCAATATTTACTTGTCCCTAATATATGTCAGGAACTATCCTAGTTGCTAGGGACACAACGATGAGCAAGATAGACACAGCTCTTGCCCTCTGGAAACTCAGAATCTGTGAGACTTTCATGGGATAAGGTAGGGCTCCCTAACCCCATGGGCTGTGGACTGGTACTAGTCCGTGGCCTGTTAGGAACCAGGCCACACATTAGGAGGTGAGCGGTGGGCAAGCAAGCAAAGCTTCATCTGTATTTGCAGCTGCTCCCCAGTGCTAGTATCACAGCCTCAGCTCCACCTCAGATCATCAGGTATTAGTCTCTCATAGGAGCACCAGTCCCTTGTACCAAAAAGGTTGAGGGGGGAACCACTGGGGTAAGGGATACCTACTCTGATTAGGAGAGGGTAATTAGAAAAGGCTCCTTGGAGGATGTGATTTAAAACCTGACCCCCAAATAAGTAGAAGCTAGGAAATTAAAGAACTGGGGAAGGAGAACTGGGTTACAAAGGCCTAGTGGCAATAGAGAGCTACAAACTGTCCAGTGCAGTGGAGTTTAAGGTGTGGTGGGAAGAATAGTGAACAATGAGTTTGGATACAGGAGCAAGGACAAGGTCAATTGAGATGAGATTTGTGTCTCAGAAAAATCATTCCATTTCCTTTGTCACAATGAGGTGACAAGGAAGAGAGTAAAGAACTAGGTGCCTGTAGGCCACTCACTGAAACAGGGCACTGGGAGGAGGTCTAGGTTTGAGGTTGGAAGGTGGTCAGTTTTGGACAAAGCAATGTTTATGCTTCTTTGAAAGAACCAAGAAAAAGATATGAGGAAGGCAGTGTCTGTAAGGATCTTGAGTCTTCAGCATAAGCTGTGGATGCAGATGAAATCACACAGGAAATATCTCAAATAAAAAATGTGTCATGTAAGAAGAAAGGAGAGTCTGAATAGAATCCTGAAGATCATCCCCATTTAGAGGGCAAGCTAGGGATTACCAGTCCAAAATGAAGGCTATAAAGAAGAGAACACAGAAGAAAAATAAAAAGCAAGGGAATATGGAGTCACAGAGGCCATAATAGGTTGTTTAAAGAAAAAGACAATGATCAACCACCCCTCATTCTTAGAGAAGGCAAGAAAGATACAGACTGAAAAATAATCCAGTGTTCTTAGCAAGCAGCTCATGGGTAACCTTGGTGCAAGCAGATTCAATGGAATGGTGGGGAAGAAAGTCAGATCTTGGTAGTTTGAGAAGATGTGGAAGAGGGACAAGGAGAATGCAGGCTATCTTTAGTGGAGTTAGCATGTAAATTGAGGGAGAAATGATGATAGCTGGAAATAATGGAAAAGAGAAAACTCTGTTTGTATTCTTATAGTCCATTGGCAGTTCCTGTTCTAAAATTTCCAGATTTGAATAGTACTATGTTTAGCATAAAAAGAAAAATTATTTCCTAAATCCAAAATTAACAGACTTGTACCCTTTATGGAATGTTCAGTACAGTAAATTATATTTCCTATGCCCACAAGTCAAATATTTCAGAGAAGTTCACTAGACTTACACATAAAATTTCCCCATCTTTCCTGCATACTAGCTACCACAGAGACTGAGGTGATAACAGAAAATTACAACAAATGAGAATTCTGCTCACGTGAAACTCCAGCATTGTCACATCAGAGGGAATGTTCACCACAAATGAAGCTACTCCATCATAATTTGTTGCACTTCTTGGATCCTGATCTCTCTTCTCCTAAGTTTTATTAACTGTTTTTGCTTTCAAGGTTACTGAAATCCCTCCAATGAAATGGTCAAAGGCATCCTTCACTTGCACCTGTTGGACCAAATCCATTTCAGTAGTTAATGATGATTCTTTAACAACAAGAAAATGCTAGAATAATTTCCTTATTCAGACCCAAGCACAAACTTCGTAGGATTTAAATCAGTAGTCAAATGTGGCTCTCTTAAGATTGTGTTTTAACCACTCTAGGCATATATCATATGAATATATTCAATTCGACATGTAATTATTGAATATGTAATCAGAGCAGGGCACTGTGCTATGTGCTTGTATGTAAGACATGGGTCGGGTAAAATTATTATCAGGCCTGGATCTAGACTGTTATTTTTCATCACAGCCTTGTCCTATTCATGACTTCCCTCAGTTTATTCTCCATTTAAGCGTCTATACTGAGGGTCTCACAGGAGCAAGATCTATCAGAGGTACTTCTCCTCTGCCCTTCCACAGAATGAAAATGTACCATGTTAGATTTTCTAAACATCTAACCCTGATGGAATACGGAATCCCAGGCTTCAGGAAAAAAGGAGTAGCAACCAAATTCAGTGTATAGGGGAAAAGGACGTATTTGACATCAGTTACTGTGGTTTCTTTGAAGAATTCACCTAATGGAATAACATGCATCACCTTGAGAATTTGGCAAGTACCATCTAATACATCAATCTGCATGGGCACCCACCCTGTCCCCTCTGTATTTATTTATTTGGATAAGGACAAGTCTTTCATCTATTCTTTGGTCATTTCACATGCAATGACTAAGCTAAGCATGGATGATTGCTATGGTCACCCTGGAAGACACTGGCCACTCTAAACCAGTAGAGTGTGGTTTGCAGGAGTTTGGTAAGATTCATAAGTTTTAACTACAGTGTCCTGTTCTAGACCATTTTTCAGATAATGTATTCTATTTTTTTCCTTCAAAAAAACCAAACAGAGCCACATGCCCTCAGGGAGTCAATAATCCTGTTAAAAGAGACATTCACATGTGAAATAGCTGATTCTCATGTCCCAGGCAATATTCAAACAAATACTAGGTAGTATGGTAGAAGATGTGTGTCAAATATTTAATATGTAAGCAAACACCCAAATGACTCAGGGACACTTTCATAATGTGAATAATTTTATCATTTCATTTGTTTGTTGCTTATAGGTGCAAAATTCTTCAACGATATCCTAGCAAACCAAATACAGCAGCATATAAAAAGGATTAAACCATGATGAAGTGGAATTTATCTCAGGAATGCAAGGTTGGTTTAACATTCCCCAAATCAATTAATATAAAGCACCATATCAATAGAATAAAGAACAAAACTCACATGATCGTCTCAATAGATGCAGAAAAAGCAACTGACAAAATTCAACACTCCTTCTTGATTAAAAAAATAAAAACCCACTCAACAAACTAAAAATAACAGAGACCTTTTTCAACCTGATAAACAGTACCTACCAAAAAATCTACAGTTAACATCATACCTAAACAGTGAAAGATTGAATGCTTTCCTCCTAAGACAAAAAACAAAAACAAAAACAAAAACAAAAAAACCCCCAAACAAACAAACAAAACAAGAATGCCCATTCACACCTCTTATATTCAACATTATACTGGAGGTTCTAACCAGGACAAGTAGGCAAGAAAACAAATAAAAGTCATCATAATTGGAAAGGAAGAAGTAAAATAATCTATTTGCTGATGACATAATCTTGTATATAGAAAATCCTAAGGAATCCACACACACAAAAAAATAAGAACTAAAAAACAAATTCAGCAAGGTTGGAGGAAACAGGATCAGTATATAAAAATCATTATATTCCTATACAGCAGCAATGACTACATTAAATGAAAGAAAATAATTCCATTTATAACACCAAAGAAATAAAATATTTAGTAAAAAACGACAAAAAAGTACAAAACTTATATACTTTGAAAATTATAAAACATGTTGAAATTAAATAAAACGTAAATAAATGGAATGACATTTCATGTTTATGAGTCAGAAGACTTAATATTGTTAATATGGCAATATGCCTCAAATTGATCTACAGATTTAACACCTAATAATGGTCCCTTCTGCTGTGGTACCTCGTTCACGGTTTTCTTGTTCAAACTCTGCTCTAGCCCTACTGATGAATTTCTGGTTTTCTGAAGTTGCTCTCTCCAGTATCTTTCATCTTTGCACAGGCTATCTATTCCCTTTGCCTTAGATGCTCTTCCCAGCTTCTTCATATGACTAACTCCTACTGGTTGTCCTCAGGTCTCAGCTTACAAACCATATTTTCTGGGATACTTTCCTCGATCTGCTTTGAAGAGGATAAATGCCTCTTCCTGGGTATGCCTTTAAAAACCTATTCTTACTGACTTTCAACACTTCTCATATAGTTCTGTCATTCTCTTTTTATATTCTACTTATCTGAATTTCCCTATATAATTGTAGCTATACCAGGTAGGCAGGGCTGAGTCATATTTGCCTTATTTACTGAAAAAATGAATTAAACAAATTGAAATGAAAAACTCACATGCTGATTTTGCCAAATGATGCTTCTTTAGGTTCCACCATCAACCCAAATAGTCGGTTCTCAGTTTTGGCTGTACACTAGAACCATCTGGGGAGCTTTTAAAAATCCTGAGTCCTAGGCCATACTGTGGACTGATTAAATCAAGATCCCTCTGTGGGGTAGGCAGGCATTAGTATTTCTAAGCTCCTCAGATGATTAACTATGAAACCAAGACTAAGAACCATTGAACTAGAAGTAGAGTGTCTTCTAAGGAACCATCTCCTAAGATTCAGTTTGATCTCTTTCACTTTATCCTTTCAGGATACCAACGGGAACCTAAGTGTCACTGTAAGTGAAGGCCACCTAAAGCCTAAGTACTAAGGAGGTCCTCAGAAACCATTATGAGAGAGAGCTAAGAGGAGTTCAGATTCTTCCATTGAGCTACATGGATCTGGGAAGATTATTCTGATAATAGCACATTGTCTGCCATTTTGACCTTCCTTAGGCTCAGCTTCCCTAGACTCATGCTATCAAGGAAACCCCTGTTATTGGGGTTTCCTTGATCTCAAGGAAACCCCAATAACAGGCTGGCTAAAAATGCTCAAGTCTCCATTGCGGCATTGAGAGATAAGACCTCAGTAGTATGGTTTTGACTTGTAACGTGGTGCTTAGCATTAATGACAAGAGAGTCAATTATATCTTGATAAAACTGGAAAAGGAAAAAAGAAGAAACAATGACAAGAGGCCAGGACCTCTTGGTTCAGGAGACTCCTCCCTCAGTACAACAAAAGAATACTTGCCATCAGGCACCAACACCCTCAGTGCATACTTTATGCACCTTGGCAATAGAATGGTAGTCAACAGCAATGTGGTAACCATGGAGATTTCCCTTGAAGAACTTGCCAACTAGCTGCAAGGAGCATGTTAGCTTGGCAGCCTCCAGGTATTAATGCCTTCAAGACATACCTTAGCTTTCAAGCTGAGGCCATGCTCTTTCTAGGCAGCTCCTGCCAATGATTAAACATTAGAGCCTGATCATTTCTATGTAAGAAAATAATTTTACCTTTTATGATTGAAAGATAATAATCTTAACTGTAAACTGAAGTTTAGCTAGATGAGATTCTAGAACCCTGAGATTCTCTCTAGTTCTTACATTCCATAAATCTATTGAAAAGAATCTAGGAAAGTTATATATGGCCTATCAGACCTTTGGTTTGTGACACTGGCTATTATTTAGAAATTCTGGTGATCTCAGCTTGTATAGTTCATGAATTAATTACTCAAAGCCTTAGTATCCCTGTCTATGCTATATTCCTGCTTTGTACAACCTCATTATTTTCCTAGAAGTTATTCTGATTAAATAAGAAAAAATCCATTAATATTAAATTACAGTATTATAAAACTTCTAAGTTCAAGAATTTCTAATAGGTGCTATAAGAAATATAAGACATATTCCGATCAGAGAGATTCTCATATATTGGGGTAACAAAATGAACACCAATAACATTAATAACAATTTCTTTAGTAGCTCCTATAGCCCAGGCAATAAGCCAGGCTATTTACATGTGATATCTCCAAACTTCACGACATCTTCAAACAGTAGTTATTATTCCTCCCTCTTATTGCTGCTGTAGTCAGAGATGATCGTGGCTCCTTGTTCAGTTCCTAGTCTCTGGGTAATTTATCATTCCTTTATTTAATTCTTTAACCCCGCTTGCCCAAATTTCTGTATTTTGCTTCTTTTATTAAATCGTCTTGGGTAAATTTGAACCATGTTGGATAAATGTCCAAAAAAGGCAAATTTATAGAAACAGTGAGTAGATAGTTATTGCCTGGAGCTAGGACTGGGAATGGAGAGATTACATGCAAACGGGCATGAGCGAATTAAATTACTATACACTTAAAACAGGTGAATTATATGTTATTTAAATTATAGTTTAATAAATGTGCTTTTTAAGTGGGGTAAATAGCACCTGGCCTGATACATAGTACACACTCAACTCATGTTAGCGGAATGCAAAGCATTAATTCTGTTTCTGCTGCCTTCTCAGTTTCACTCTTGTGAGCACTTTTCTGGCAAGGACAGGATAGTGAAATCTATCAATTCTACAATTTGTTTTGGCTCTAGAAAAGAGTTTGTTAGAGGGGTTCCAAACTCACAATTAAAGATTTGGACTTTTCTGTGGATTTAAGTTTTTCAGGTGTATAGGGAACTTGTTTATAAAGTAAATTCTGTTTCCTGCCAGAACTTTAATTTACAAGGTCAGAAAGCTGTTCTTTGGTTTTGGTACTATGAATGTCATTGGTGATCTTGACAGGAGTGTAGTCTAGCAGTAGAGACAAGCCAAACTAGAGAGGGTTGAGATGTAAGGAAGTGAAGTTGGCATGTCCAGACAACATGGTAGAATGGAGAAGTGGGAGTTGACAATAGTATTCTAATATTTGCGGAGCAGGACTTGGCGATTGGGTGTGAATAGGCAGAGTCAAGGATGACTCCCAGGTCTCTGGCTTGAACAATTAGTGATAGGAGATACTTTTTGCTGAGATGAGATATATAGGAGGAGGAGGAGCAGTTTTCTTTGTGGGGAGGAGGGACAGAGATATAAGTTTAGTTTGTACATGTTGAATTTGAGTTGCCTCTAAGATGCCCATGTGGTGATATCCTAGTAGGCTCATGGATAGGAAGCTTTTCTGTCTCCCACTTCCATCATGGCCGTCTCCCATTGTAGACAACACCTTCCTCATCTCTGATTTACCTGTGTTACAAATTCATCTTTCCTTCTTCTTAAAATTTACCTCTAGTTCACTTCCCTTTCTGATGCTATTCTGAATTTATTCCCATTTGATATCTTTACTATTGTTCCAATGGGATTTGGGAAGAATGCCAAAGAAAATAAAAAATGAAAAAGTAATTTAGTTATCCTTCCTTCAACTCCTTTTATAAAGGTACTTTTCCTTTTGTAATAAATAAGTAATCTGTGGGGTGATATTTTGAGAGCAAGTGAATATCTTATTGACCAGTAATAATTCATGTAATGGTTCTAATAGCTATCGATGATCCTTGTCTGAATCAAATATGATAAGGATTATAAAATGATGACTTCCTAATTAGGTCATTTCATCTGTATTAGCTAGAGCTCTTCTGAAAAGGGCTTTCCCTTTTGTAGAAATTCAAAATGTTAACTTAAAAAAGCTTTAAAATTAGGAAGGAAGTTATGGAAATTTAGAGCTTAAAATATTTCAAAGCTGGACATAAGAAAATCATATTTGGAGGCTGTTTTTGGTCTTCAATATTCTCTGGTCATATGAGAGAGCTACGCTGGCCTTAGGGAGGTGAATGATAAATAACAGTTTGGTTTCGGAGACAGAGGAATTTGGGGTTGCACCTAAGGCCTGTCCTAGCCCTCTTTAGAGTAGATCTGAACTTACAAAGCAGACACCTTGAGTCATGGTGTCTCTACAAACCATGGCACTGGAAACAGCCCAAAGTTAATCTAAGTAGGGTTATTATGAATCGCTGAACATTGTAGCTCCTTCCCATTCGGGACCCAAACCCATATATGGATTCACATAGAATATCAAATCTCTAATTCTAGTCCATGGTCATAGTGCCTTATCATTTTTGTATTTCCCACTAGACTGTCATATCTCTTTAAGGGCAGAAACTATCTCATTCACCTTTGCATTCCCACAGACCTGCCACATAATAGGATTTTAGTATATTTAGCCAAAACAAAGAGGAGAGCAGAGAGAGATAACAACAAGAATAACAAACAAAAAAAAACCAAACTCAATACATTGAAGAAAGATTATCAAGGGCTTTGCAAGGAATTTGGTATTTTGCAGACAGTGGCAGGTCTTCCTATATTCTTACATAGAGTCAGGTTATTTCATATATCAATATTCATAGATGTCTAGTGAAGAATTTGCATTTAGACATAGTACATGATTTTATATTGCAAATTATACCTTACTCTATGAGACTAAAAATATCAACATTTATTTAAAAATAGAGTTGTAATTCAGTTAATTTTCAAAGTCACACTAGCAAGTCACAAACAGAAATGGAATTAATAGAAGCTATCATCCCTGCCTGACAAATTAGTCTGATTTTCTTTTAAAGCAAATCCACAAAATAATTAAACTGAATTGAGAAACATGAGGCAAGTTAAAACTAACAGAATAGCTTTGTTATCATTTGGAAAAAAAACTGAAGAATAGCTAGGTCACTGTGCCATGCCTAATATTTATATTGTAAATGCAACTCAGAAGAATAACAACTTCTTCATATTATCAGATAAATACAAAAGTGTTGAATATAAGAGTTGCCCTCACTCCTTTCCTATCCTTACTCTTTTAGCGTGCTAAAAGAGGCAATTAATGTTCAGATTAGCACATAAAGCTTTCCCCTCTGACATCTCTAAGGCTTAAGGTGGGTACTGTGTCTGGATGAAGGAGGAAACTGGCAAAGGGATTGGACAGTACCCATCTAAGGTTGACTGGATATGGACCGAGAGACTACTAAAGGGAAAAATAAGCATTTTGCACCATTCTCTGGATTTTGTGTATATTTTTGATGGTTACTTATAAGATTCATAATGAATGACACCAACATACCATGATGTGATAATGGATCCCATGTGAATATCATTACAGACTTTGAGGGGCGTAGCAGTGAGGTTACACAATAAATCCAACTCTCTGGGAGAAAAGAGAAAAAGAAGTGAGTGACAACACAAACAAACAAAAAAATAATGAACTGAAAGTCAGCAATATACATATTCTGAACTAATTAATAGCACCTGAAATTCGATTAAAAAATGCATACATCTTCCTTCTAAGTTAAAATGTGGAGCGTTGCAGGAATTTTGACTTTTCTACAATTCAAAAGGCTTCCTTCTGTGTTGCATAAATAGTGAAGACGGGGGCATCATTCACATAAAAATGAATGGAAACGGTGCCCCCTGTCGGAAGTCACATGAATTTTCTATTTCTGAAACCATCACGGCCTTAAGGAAAAATTACAAGTGCCTAATGTGGTTTATAATAAGGCCCCTTCCAGCTTTAGCTTCCTCATTCCTGATTTTTGGCAGCCATAATGATCTACTTAACGTCCAGATCATTAACAAACTTCTTTTCTCCTCCTCCTGGGGTTTGCATTAGTTTCCTTTGCCAAGCAAATTCTTCCCCACTCCCTTACTTCTTGACTAAATTCTTTTCTTCTTTCGGGCCATAGGATGAGGTATCATGTCTCCTGGGAAAACCTTTGCCTAAAAATAAAATAACTAAAACATACTGAGAACTTAACTCTTGGGCAGGCACTGTTCTGAGTTTTACACATGCATTAACTTTTATAATTGTCAGGAAAACTGTAGGAAGTCGGCATGATTATCCCATTTCACAGATGAGGAAACTGAGGCATGGATAAAATAGTGTTAGGTGGACCTTGAATTCTATGATGAAGAAAGAAACCAATTGTGAGAAAATGGTAAGAACAAGAGATTGGAGGTCACGATGAACTTAAGAATTGTGCTGGAATGGAGGTCTTTGGGGCAAGCGAGCTGTTAAGATTGGAGGATTATGGGAAAAGAGAAGTAGTGACTGTGTTGGAGATTCCTGGAGATGATGCAGCCTCTGATGGTGACATGGTCCAAGGTCCAAGGTTAAAAAGGGGAGGCTAGAGCGGAGGAGAGTGTCCTTGGTAAAAAAATTTTTTTAAATTCACTATTCCCCTAGTACCCAGCACTGTATCTGATAAATTCTCTTAAGCTATCTGTTGGATGTAAGGTGAAATGCAGCACTTTAGGTAAGCCCCAACCGGAGTTTCCTCAAATACTTCTTGTTTTAGCTTTCCGGTCACCAACCAGAGGAATATTCTCCACAGCCTGCAGGAATATTCGATGCCCGGATTTCCAAGCTGGTCTTGCTCCCTTAACTTCGGGGGGCAGCTGGAACCTAAGCCGCGTTCGCTCAGCGGTTCGCCTACGTCTGGCTGTTGGTCCCTGAAGAGAATT